AAAGAGATCGCTAAAGAGTCAGTGTTAGTGAGTGAAATAAACAGACTTCGTTTTCGGAGAAAAAACCTTAACTGTAGTGACAATCGTGGTAACAGTAGTCGTAATGACTATCAGAGTGAATCGCGGAGTGAATCCAGAGGTGATGCAGGTAACTCCAGAGATAGGTTCCTGGAACGAGGTAAGGGATTAGTGGCTGAAAAAAAATGTTCGTGCTGCGGAAATACTCATCCAAGGGGTAAGTGTCCTGCTTTCAATAGAATATGTAGCTCTTGTAACCGGAGAGGGCACTATCGTAAACTTTGTAACATCAGAAATGTACACGGTGTACTAAATTCGTCTGATGATGATTCCAGTGACGGTGAAGAACCGAAAGAGGAGTTTTTTGATGAATTTAACCCTGCTGGTTCCTCATATGATGACTCTGCTAGCAATATTGTGTGGACTGTAAACAATACTTCCGATGTTAATGCAATTGAGTGGCTAGAAGAACTAAAAATTTTCGGCTTCCGAATAAAGTTGAAAATTGACACCGGTAGTCAGGTCAACATTTTGAATATGCGCGATTTCGAAACGTTGAACATTCCTCTGAATAAACTGTCCTCAGTGTCGTCGGTGTTGTCATCTTACTCGGGCCATAAAATTGATGTTCTTGGAAAGATACATGTATTATGTAGCTCAGCAAGTGAAAAACATTGAACTTACATTTCACGTGGTGAGCTCCCAAAAACAGTGCTCTATTTTAGGACTTGATGCCGTGTACGAACTGAAAATAATTGAAAGGACTCAAGATCAAACTATTGATTTAATTGCAAGTGAACTCTGTTGTGATTCCGGTTGTGATATTAAATGCATCTTGAACAGTTATAAATCTGTGTTTGAGGGAATCGGTAAAGTGAAAAGACAATATAACATCACGTTGAAAGAAAATGCAATTCCTTCGATTAGTGCGCTCCGAAAAGTACCTCTGGCCTTGAAGGATAAAGTAAAACAAAAACTCAGCCAAATGGTGTCAGATGGCATTATTCAACCTGTGTCTGAACCAACTGATTGGGTTCATCCAATAGTTGTTGTCCCCAAACCAAATGGCGATATCCGTATTTGCATGGATCCACGAAATTTAAATAAATACATTAAGCGGGAACGATTTGAGATACCAACTCAAGATATCTTATTTTCACAGCTTGCTGGTTCAAAATATTTCAGCTTGTTGGATGCATCTTCTGCATTTTTGCAAATTCCCTTATCATATGAAAGCTCTCTTATGTGCACAATTTCCACGAGTTTCGGTAGATTCCGCTATCTGAGGCTGCCCTACGGAATATCATCCGCACCGGAAATTTTCCAAAAATTTATGCATGACACCTTGTCTGGCATTTCTGGCGTGATTGCCTATTTCGATGATGTGTTGGTTTTCGGCCGTAATAAAGAGGAACACAACAAAAACTTGATTATTGTGTTGCAGAAAAATAAAAACAGTGGGCTGACACTGAACATTGAAAAATCAAAATTTTTTGTGAAAAAAATTAAGTTTCTGGGGCATGAAATAAGTGATATAGGAATAGCTCCGGATCTCAAAAAGACTAAAGCAATTTGTGATATGAGAGAACCAAAAAACAAAAAAGATTTACAACGTTTCCTTGGGATGATAGTTTACTTGGCCAAATTCATTCCGAACTTATCTCAAGAAACTACCCAGTTGAGAAAACTCCTTAGTGAAAAATATGAGTGGCAGTGGACTGATTTGGAGGATCAGTGCTTCAATAGATTAAAGAAGTTGGTATCGTCTGCCACAACTTTATCTTATTTTGATCCCGCTAAGGAAACAACCTTATCTGTAGATGCGAGTCCATTTGGGCTTGGTGCAGTCTTAGTTCAAGACAACAAACCTATTGAATTTGCTTCTGTATCTCTGACAGCAACCCAGCAAAGATACAACCACATTGATGAAGAGTTGCTGGCTTTAGTCTTTGGCTGCGAGAGGTTTCATTATTATCTCTATGGTAATTTTTTCAAAATAGAATCAGACCACCGACCACTTTTGGGAATTTTAAAAAAGCCACTTGACGAATTATCACCAAGAATTCAACGGTTGACGCTTAGACTGTTGAGATATCAATTCAGTTGCAGTACGTACCCGGCAAGCAGTTACAAATCCCAGATACTCTTAGTCGAGATCCAACATCCGACACAATAGATACCAGTTACCTAGAAAACAATCTCAGAGTTTATTCAATTATAGCAACGTCTGAAGAAAATGAGCGCCGATTGCAAAATGCGACTCTAGATGACAGTGTTTTACAGATAATAAAACACTATGTCCTCACTGGTTGGCCTCAACACAAGGCCAGTGTCTCTAGAGAGATTAAAAAGTTTTGGGAGATCAGAAATGATATTTATGTTCACAAGGAGATATTGTTTTATAAAAAACGAATAATAGTTCCAAAAATTTTAAGAAATGAACTATTAGCTGTTATTCATCAATCACATCAAGGGCTTACATCCTGTAAGAAGAGAGCCCAGGATGCAATTTATTATCCTGGCATGAGTTCTGATATCGAAAATTTAGTCTTGAGCTGTGCAATCTGTCAAGCTTACTCGGCAAGCAACCAACGCGAACCTTTATCTCCTCATGAAATCCCTGTACTGCCATGGCAAAAAATTGGCATGGATTTCAAATCCCTTGGGCGTGAGGACTTCATTGTCATTGTAGACTACTACAGCAAATTTGTGACTGTCAATAAAATCAGCAGTAAGACGGCTCATAGCGTGATTTCAACATTGAAAAATATATTTGCCATTCATGGGCTGCCATTGGAGATATTTTCCGATAATGGCCCTCCATTTAGCTCGTATGAATTTAATGAATTTGCTAGAAAATGCGATATAAAGTTATCGACATCCAGTCCACAGCATTCACGCTCAAATGGAATGGTCGAACGTCATATACAGATTGTGAAAGCTCTATTGACCAAAGCTTATAGAGATAATCAAGATCCATTCTTGGCAATTCTCAACTACAATGCAACTCCCAAACAAGACTTACCGGCACCATCTCAGCTGTTGATGGGCAGAAGAATTCGCACAACACTACCTGTTAGCTTTAATATCCTGAAACCAGATTTCCCAGTTGATAACCTGAGGGAAAAATTAGAAGCTCGCCAGATGAAGCAAAAAAGATACTACGACAGGTCGACGAAACTTCTACCACAAATACAGCCCAATCAACAGGTTTTTGTCAAGGATAAAACTCGTGAATGGAAACCAGGCAGTTGTGAATAAAACAGGCCCTAACGATTACAACGTTAGAGTCGATGATGCAGTATATCGCAGAAACAGACAGTCCTTAAGGAAGGCTAAAATTCATCTTCCTGGCTGTTCGTCTTCAGAAGATGAGGCTTCAAATGAAGTTGAAAAAATCCTGGATGAACCTGAAGAAAAACCAAACACCACCAATTCTCCGAGTCGTCGAACAGACCTAGAGATCGGCAGTCCTCGAGCCAGCCCTACAACTAGTAAAGCGGAGGATGAAGCGACAAATTCATGTTATATGACAAGAAGTGGTAGAATGGTTAAGCCTTTGAATAGATTGGGACTTATCTTGATCTACCTACCATATAAGTAAAAATGCTCATCTCATAATTATGAATATTTAGAACAAATATTCTTCGCACATGTATGTAAACTTATCTTCTCAGTTAACTTCTTAGTTGTCTCCTTTAAAAGGGGCGTGTGATGTATCAACTTTTAAATACATTTTCCTAGACGTGGCAACGCTGCGTCAGTACTATTGCAGGTAGTGGACACGCGTATCTATTAGATTCAATGTAATCAAAATATTGAATAACAATAAATAGCCTAAGTGAAAAGTACCAACTCCGAGTTATTAATATGATGTTATAAGTTCATCATATATTACAAAAGTACAAACATCACATAGATATGCTACTATTTTATCGAATTCTATATATTTCTCGAATGTTGGTTATTAAAATTTTACCTGTAGGTATATCGCTCTGCCATGCTGTTGTCCTCCACAGTTTGGCCGGCCATTCAGCATTCAAACAAGTTGATATATGATCGATACCTACACAAAATTTAACTTCAACTTATCACGTTGATTTTCCGATTTTTTTTCGCAACTTCGACGCAGTCTGCCGGCACTTTAGTCAAAATGACCTTGACAACCTTTATCTGTGGTGCGTCCGTAACAATCTCGACCTAAATACCAATAAATATCTCACAATATCGTTTTCCCGTTCTCATAATGTTGTCCTATATAATTACAATATTAACAATATATTCTTGAAAAAAGTAACCGAGATTGAAGATCTTGGAATCATAATTGATGAACGCCTCACCTTCAAATATACTGAAAGAATCAGCATCCGCCAATAGAATGGTGGTTTTCTATCGCGTAATACAAAAAATGTTTCATGCAACACATCATATATTTTGTACTGCTCCCTTGTACGTTCCTTATTGGACTATGGCTGTATGATTTGGTCACCATACTATGCATGTAATATCACACTAATTGAACAAGCTCAAGTTAGATTCCAACCACATATCCTACAAAATGGGAACTTACCATCATTTCAACTATTCGGATACTCTTGATACCCTCAACCTAACTAATTTATCTGTCCGTCGCTTTAGGCTAGGTAGTTATACTATGTTTGAGATTATCTCAGGTGAAATTGATTGCTATGAACTTCTCAACAGGATCAACTTCATTGTTCCCTCATCTTTTACTAGAAACACGGAATTATTTGTTATAAATAATCATAGAACCAAGGGTTCCTCAGCCGTTTTCCCGCATTTTGCGTAATTTCAATGCATTCATAACATTAACCCATTCGTTCAGTCTTTAGCCATATTTAAAAATAGAATCTGTAAAATTGATCCTACGCTAATCAGTCACCTCTAATATAGTAGATACTTTTTTTACTCTCTTTTCCTTTTTTTATTCATTCTCTTTGGGCAGAATGTAATTTTTCAACCTAATGGCTGTAAATAGGAAATAGTTTCAACAACAAGATGTATTGTTTGAAAAAAAGTTAAATTTATTTTATTGTTGAATTTCATCTGTTGATGCTGTGATGTAATTGTACTTATGCCATCTTGATTATATATAATTAATTTCTATTGTAAAGGTGAATCCATTTATTAAATAAATGAATAAATATCATTCCCACGCGACCTTACACCCCTCGGCTGAAGCCTCTGGATATTATCTTGGTCCCTATGTAATAATGATATTCTTCGCCACCTTGGTGTATAAATAACTATTTTCCATAGGCTGATCGATTTCAGGAAAACTTCAAATTAAAAAAAAAAAAAGATTACCTGCTCTATGGACGGATACGGTCTCTTGTTGGTGGGCGTGGCACCGGTGATGGTGTTGCGCCGCTGCAGTATCGGCCGCGGTTTCAGCGGATACATTCGACCGTTCGCGTCCGTCGGACTGTCGGGCGGCTCACTGTCGCTGCTGCTCAACTCCGTTTCCACATCGTGGATCTCCACGGAATCGTCGATCCTGCAACGAAACGCAACGTGCAATCTACCGTTTTTGATGGTGTAAAACAGGATAAAGGTGATGATGAGCTTACGCTATCTACTGGCTGTTCCACGGCGCATTACGCGTATCTGGTGAACCCACTGACATAACAACAAATGGAAGAGTAATGCTCGCTCCCAGTTCAATATAAATTGATCTTATACATACAGGGTTTTCCATTTGAAATAACAAAATTATGACCATTCGAAAAGCTCAACATTGACTGTTCATTAAAAATCACTATTGATGATGATTTCATTGAAACGATAGTCGAAGTAACATCTTAGTCCTTGCACGTTTTAAGATGGAGATTTTGGAAATGGGGATCAGCAGGCATATTGGGGTCAACATCTGTATTATAATTATTCAAAATAATTCCAATTAACTTGGCTAAGTCGCGAAATTATTGTAAAAATAGAACATAACTGTGTAAATGAGAAAACGACAAATTAGACTGTTGTCTAGCCATCAATAATATGCTTTTTCAGCACTGAGGATGCTTTGCGTCAAAAGACTCAACAAATATTACTGATTACTGTCTGTAGGTTAATCAAGGAGGTGGTACATTCATTTTACTTGATTTTTTGGGATTTTCTCTCCTCGTTTCTATAAAATAAAAATATGCGTATTATTTCAATATATTTGTAGTGGGACAAATCAGATGATTTGCCCCAAAATGTATGTCACTGTGTTCAAAACTGAAAATACAATGAGATCCATTCTAAATCAAACAAAGCCAAAAAATGAAGAACAATCATCAAAAAATTGTATTTATAGTATACCTTGTGTTTGTGGAAAGTATTATACAGGTGAAACGAAAAGACCTCTCTCAGTAAAGACTAAAGAACACAAGTACAATATCAAGAAAAGACATATCGATAAATCGAAGCTAACTGAACATATCTTTACTGGAGATGGACAACATATGGCAAAGTGGAATAATATCAAAATCATGGAAAGAAAGATAACAAGCAGAAAAAAAAACAAGGAATCCGCTTGTATTCTTCTGAACGGAGACAATAGCATTGCTTCCTGTTCAGTTGATATAGATAGAACATGGTATTCACTACTGGAAACTGAACATGAAAATGGTAGATTCAAGATCAATTAATGAAAACATCCTGTAACTCATTTGTAGACTAAAATCACTCATTCACATGTCAACATCAGTATGACACTGAGAAGTGTCAAACTATGAGCAACAACTTCTAAAAAGAGATAATTTGCATTTTTATGTTGAGAACGGCAGCAGATTCGGTCCCGATACGTCCAAAGATGAGTAAAAATCCGATATTTCTTTCCTTCAAACATTTTTCAAACAAATTGTCATTGACAAGCTACTGGATTTTTCTTTTAGGCTCTCTGATAGAAACATTTGTTAAACGCAGTGACATTTTGGGGCATATCATCTGATTTGTCCCACTACAAATAAATTGAAATAATACGAATATTTTTATTTTATAGAAACGAGGAGAGAAAATCGCAAAAAATCAAGTGAAATGAAATATCATTGAGCTTGGATGAAAAATAAGAGACTATTGGAATATTTCTGGACTTGGCCAAAGCATTTCACACTGTGGCACATCATATCTTGTTAAAGAGATTGCATAATATAGGCATAGGAGGAATTGGAAATGAACAAATTTGGTCCATATTTACATTTACGACGTCTGTCATAGAAGAAGAAAAACTATATTGTTTTGCGGATTATAGTAGCTGGTGATACCTGAGAACCTACTGTTCAAAAGGCCAAAATGGCAAACACTAAAATAAGAAGGTGGCTAGATTATAGCTTACTAACACTGAATGTGGAAGACTAAATTCATAGCTTTTGGCCTGACACAGAAAACTTTGCCAGAACTCCGCTCCTTATAAATCTACGATCATAAAATTGTAAATTTGAAACTACTTCTTGTAAATGTAAAAATGCAAGAGAGTGAGATGAATATATAAAATATAACTTGTTTCATCTTGACGCCGCTAGCCCCATATTCGGACAAAAAAGATTCACTCATTCAGCCTTTACTGAATTCAATAAACTACCTGACAATATAAAAAATTGCAGAAATATAGGTACATTCAAGAATGAAGTGAAAAAATTGATTATTTCTGAGCGAACTGGATAAAATTGTTTGTCAATTCACAGTTGTTGATATATTTTGTATAATGATATGTTTACCCATAGGTATATATTTATGTACTTCCTTATACCAGAGCCTATTCTGTCTGGAAGTTATTTGTTCAATAAATAAATAATAAATAATAATAATCTTGGCATAGTACTTGATGAAAACTTGAATTTGAAATTCCATGTAAACTATGTAACCAGTAAAATTAGAAAATTGATTTTCCAGTTTTGATGAGCTTTGACATATTTTGAATTCAAAAACCTTGTAAATAGTATATTCTGCATTCTATAATTAATTAGGGGCTGATAGAATAGGGCAATGAATACAATGACATCTCTATATGTGGCACAAAAATATAAAATAAAAATAATGTTGTAGGAAAACAAAATGTTTTCCACAAATTCATTATTCCAAGAAAGCAGATTATTAAATATTGAACAACTCTACATGAATTGAACTACAAGATTTATGATTATGAAGAAATATTATGTATCCAATATCAATTGCAGAATATCCAGCACTGTGCAGCACCGACTTAATCACAAATAAATAAATGGATAATCGAAAGTGAACTGACAATAGATGATTTATGAAACTCATTTCATTTTTTATTCATTGTTTCCTCTGTGAACCTCATTAGATAATTATCATTGTTGAATACATAAGTGTATGTATGGATGATGAATATACAAAATGAGTAAGTAGGATGCACACACATGTTATCAAATCCATTTTGACCCAATGTTGTAAGTATTTTTGTAAGTTTATTATTATGGTTCACCAATATATAAATCGATATGTGAAATGAATATGAAGAACGGCATACTTGGTAGGAATCACGAAAATTTCGCAACATATCAAAAGTAAAATTTTTTAAATTCATTGCTGTAAATATTTGATGGAATTACAAAAACGTTTACCTACGGCCACTATAGAAAGTAGGCAAGAACACACGAGATACTGCCTCAGTAAGTAGCTTCTCACGCACAGTAAACAAATCGCACAGTTTTCGTTTATTCCGCCAGTCATGATCGCGTAATCTCCGTCAACAGCGTGTTACTAAACCGGCAAGTGATATGCTGGTTACGTAATAAAATCTCAGGTGTAGGGTGTCAAAACTGAGGGAGGAACAATCAGTGATTGCTTCTGATATTTTGGATTATATTTTCATCTAAAAAGGACCTGGCACCAATAATCTTAAGATAATATTATTTTCAAAACCAAAAGGTTCGCTTCTTGACTACTCATATACGCTATTTCGAACTAAGAAAACAGCATCGGATTACGCAAAGATTGACATGACGTCCAATTTCTCTTTCTCGCAATTTCTTCTAAACCAACACGAATGCTCAACAAGAAAAACTCTCGTGGGTACCGGACTGATAAACACGCAAAAAATTTAGGACTAGAATGTGGATGCAGGCGACATCTATTTATTGGACGAATAGGCAAATAGTTTCAATAGAAAGATTACTACCACATGAAAAGCAAAGAGTATCGCCACTCTTGCCCTGCTACAAGCGGATGACATAACTGTCAAGAATTATAATTCAGACTGTTTGTCCAAACTTGTTTGATGTACTATATGGCAGTAGGTAAAGTATAGTACGTAATGCGTGTTGTAAAGCAATTACGCACTCATGGAATTAACGTTTTCATTGGTGCTGTAACATGAAAATTTGCCTTTTCGTGTTCCATAGTGTGAATTCTGCAAATAGGTAATGGGGAAGCTTTGTAGAGATGCACTGCGTAACTCAATGATTTCTTTTCTAGGTTTTGAGATACTTTACATAATTCCATCTTGTTAAATGTTTTCATTTTCAATGTTCATGACTGGATGACTGGTAGGTTATTTTAGTTCACTTCTCAACCAATCTTACACATTTGTCAGATGCCCATTAATATTGTTCTTTACATCATAGTCTCTTGCCAGTAGAAGACTGTCGCGTTTAGTGGCAGTGGCCTGTAATGGTGCAGGGATATTCGTAATTTTGTATCGATTAATGTATTGACTATCGTATCGACTATCGATGTCATGATCGATATTTAATATTTCTTTCAAGTTGCATCCCTGAATCTGACTTGAATCATATTATTTGGGTGGCTAGATTGACACTGCGCAGAGACGAAATTTGGTTTGCATTATTTTTTTGAAATAGATCACAAGTGCTCTGATTGACGAAAACTTGTTGTGTGAGCAATTTCCGTTTCATCATCCTTCTTGGTGATTCCTTCTCTTGCGAAAAGGTTTCATGTGTTGAAGCCAAAATGAGGCCCTTTTTGATTTTGGCTCTCGTGCGATCAGGTCAGGTGGTGGACACCTACTTTTGTGTTAGGCCTTTCCGATAGGAAGGTAAGAAATAATAAATCTCTTTTTGTGTGAATGATATTCGATAGGGTATGTACATTTCAGATATCACGGCCTTATACAGGGGAGCACGGGGTACAGAATAGGTGGATGATATGAACTCCATTTTCTTTTGACCACATGGCATGTTTCTGGACTTGAATTTCAACCAACACTGTTAACTGGATGGATCACTAAAAATCAATCATTCATCAACTATGCGCATTTAGAAATCTTGAACTGTTTTCTGGACTTCACTGTTTGGACATCACGTGGACACTTTTTTCGATGGTTGAGGCACCTGAGGGATCTTCGTGCTTTGAAGCCTGAGACACCAATACACTTGAAGGTGAAAGCAGGACCCTGGTGATTTCTTGTGTGTGTCCTTGGGCATCTATAGGACCCGACAGCCTGGAATTTCTGGCAGAATCCTTGCTGCCAACAGTGCAAGTCTGTAGCAGCCCTACTGGTTTAGATAGCCAGTGATCCTGACTTCTGACAGGAAATCCAGGGGAGTCCAGACTCCCGGTATGGTTGATGATCCTTCATCCCTAGAATTTTTGTTACTTTGGAGCCTGAACTCCCAGAGCCCAGTCAGATAGTGAGACGTCCTGATCCAGCTTGGAATGTAGGAAGAGCTTGCCCTGGTGGCAGCCTGTGGACCCGTCAGCCAGAGTTGCACCGCAGCATCCAGTTGCCCTGGGATAAACCAAGTGCCCAGGTCTCCAGGTGGTTGTGACTCCTGTCAACTGTGTGGGGATCCAGTTTTCCTAGCACACCTAACCCCTACCGCCGACTGAGGGAGGAGTGTCTTTGTTTCATCCACGTAGTGAGATCTAGTGGACCACAGTTGGAACCGAATGACGGATAGAACAAATTTTAGAACAAAATTTAACATATACTTTTTTCCCTGTCTTGAGGACATTTAACATACCATATTTTTTTCACTGTCTGAGGACATTTAATATACTCACATATTTTTCACTGTCTAATGTCATGAGATATTTAAACACTTGTCAATAACACATAACAGTCTAAGATCGGATTTTACATTTAATAGACTTATTGGGTCTGTTAGAGACTCTGTGAACCCTAAGTATAGGCCTATATGAAGGGAAATCTACTCATATTTACCACCATTCTGAATACCTATTGTTGGCATGTCAAGGTGAATAAATCTGTTAACAGTTATTTTGGTTTATATTTATATCTTGGATTTTTTTCTCAGTAATTCGCTGTGAAAACTGAGTGGCGCCTGACAAAAGGATAACCCCACTAGTAAACAATGAAAAGAACTAACTCACGACCTGCTCCCAAACAAAAGAGCTGCCGTGCCTATAACAAATAAAAATCTTTTCCTTTTTCAAAACATCAAAAGAGTTGTTATAGTGCGTAATATGCTTCTTAGAACACATATTACATAATATACTATTACAACATATCAAAAGTTACATTTTTTAAATTCATAGCTGAAAATATTTGATGGAACAACAAAATCGTTTACAAAGAGAAGTTATTTCTATTCCGATTTCACACATGTGCCTCAAATTTGAACGTTATATTCACATAAAATTGATTACATTTTGAATGATGATTTCGGAATCATTTAAGCACTGAAAAAATCCATTTAAATATAATTCGCTACTAAAAGCTTGACGATACATCAAGTTAGCATCAAACAACAGAAGCTTAAAGGGGGATTATTGTTTTGTTGCAATGGAACGATCACATTTGAGACACATGTGTAAAATTGGGATAAAAATGACTCTTCACTGTAAAAGTATTTGAAATTCAAAAAAATTAGCCTATTCTCAGCGATTTCTTTGAGGTGTAACTTCTGACAAGCAGCGAAAGTCACGTGACCCCGACCGAATTCGACATTTTTAATTTTCATTATTGAAAAAGTTCTTCCCATATGCTAACTTTCTAAAACACCCTGTATGAAAAGAAACTCGAAACTCACTTGGATATGGTGATGGAAGGCAGGTCGATGATCGGCAACAGCCGCGGCGACGGTATGTTATCGTTCCATCGAGTCGACCACGTGTGGCCGCTGCGCTTCCTGCTCGGCAGCCGGTACGGCTTCATGTAGATCTGGCCGTAGACCTTCGTGTGCCGAGGGCGCTTCTTCAGCGTCAGAACTATCTCGGGCGGCGATTCCTGCAGCAGCATCATCGCTTTCTTGCGCTGCCACCCGACCACCGTCTGGTAGTTCACCTGGAATGGGGTGTATATCGATATTTAAAATAGAAGGTAGATATTTTTTTTCGTTCATTGTTAAGAGACCTTTGGAGGAGTAAAATATGTCATATTACTAATATCTAATTGTGTAAACAGGATTTTCAAACTGAAATCAGCAGCCGGTACGGCTTCATGTATATCTGACCGTAGACCTTCGTGTGCCGAGGGCGCTTCTTCAGCGTTAGCACTATCTTGGGCGGCAATTCCTGCAGCAGCATCTTCGCTTTCTTGCGCTGCCACCCGACCACCGTCTGGTAGTTCACCTGGAATGGGGTGTATATCGATATTTAAAATAGAAGGTAGACATTTTTATTCTTTCATTTTTAAGAGACCTTTGGAGGAGTAATATATGTCATATTACTAATATCTAATTGTGTATGCAGGATTTTCAAACTGAAATCGGCAGCCGGTACGGCTTCATGTAGGTCTGGTCGTTGACCTTCGTGTGCCGAGGGCGCTTCTTCAGCGTTAGCACTATCTTGGGTGGCAATTCCTGCAGCAGCATCATCGCTTTCTTGCGCTGCCACCCGACCACCCTCTGGTAGTTCACCTGGAATGGGGTGTATATCGATATTTAAAATAGAAGGTAGACATTTTTATTCATTCATTTCTAAGAGCCCTTTGGAGGAGTAGAATATGTCATATTACTAATATCTAACTGTGCATACAGGATTTTCAAACTGAAATCGGCAACCGGTATGGCTTCATGTAGATCTGGCCGTAGACCTTCGTGTGCCGAGGGCGCTTCTTCAGCGACTGTTTATCAATGAAAACAATTCTCGAAAGTGAAAAAAAAATTAATTCTTATGTCTCTGATTCTCTTATATCATCCTAAATCAAATCAAGAACTTTGACAGTCTCAAGAAGAAACAACATTATATGTAGTCAAATGAAAAGAAAATTTCGCGGATGGATGGTTAGTGCTCTTATGGCATTGACTAGATGTAATGTCACCGCCCATGTGCGACATGTTCATCGCATCTGACTGTACTACAGATAAAATTGCACATATTCCCGAGGTCAAAATAAGCCCATTCAAAGCAACTTACTTCACTACGAAATTGCTCCGTTTCCGAGATACAAGGTAGTGAAGATAAAAAATAAATATCGACAAGTGCACTCCAAGAAAGTGTTTGGTAAATCCTTTTTTTGCACTGCTTATTCACTGATCTAATTATATCCAAGAAGATAAAACTTGTTCTTGGGGTTTTCAATTACATAGTGGAGTAGCAGTGTGCCTGATCTGTCAGTTGAGTTGAGTTGATGCTAATATTAAAATCTTTATAACAACTTCTGGACCCCGCTGAGTTTCTATTATTTTATTTTTCTATTTATATTTCCCTTTCTTTTCAATCTGTCAGTTTGCATATATCTAGCGACTGTTTTTGGAGAAACTCAAACTGGTTTGTCTGACTTACCTCGTTTCTTTGCTATATATAATGTGAACCTATCCAAACATCCCCAGAGATACTAAAGAGTCCCGCCGCGGTAGCTGATTAAAATGAAAGAAAAAAGGATATGAATGCAAAATGTATGCCAATGCATATTTCTTAGAAGTTGGGATTTATATGGAAATGCCAACTTTAGAGTCCCATACCTATCAACCAAATAACGATGAAAAAAAAATTTGGATGAAACTTGTTCGAAAAAATATGTTCTTTCAGAATATGAAAAACAAATGATCACTTTGTGAAAAAAAATGCTGACACCATATCCGTCATTTCGATAGAGGTTCATAAATGTTGAAATATCAAAAAATATACCTTTTTATTTATTTATTTATTTATTGAAAATGTGATTTCCAGTCAGAATCAAGTTCTGGTATGAGGAAGTATAGTTAACAATAATACCTAAAACTATGCAATTATAATAAACTCATAGGTAAATAATATAATATTAGAAAACATTAAGTATTAAATTTTGACAAATTATTTCATATTGGTGAGCCGAACTCAATTTGAATATGAATCGAAAGTTGAACAAAAAAAGCATCTATTTCTTTCAGAAATGATAAATTTTTTAAGTTGGTATTCGAATTTTATTGTATTTCTGCAATTTTTCATATTATCTGGTAATTTGTTGTCAATCAATCAATCAATCTTTTATTTCCATTTTTCGACATGGTATTACACATGTATTGGAATTGTCAGTCAGTAAAATATGAAATAGTTAAAATGAAATAAATTCAGATCATTTTCACTTTGATCTGCTAATTAATTTGATTTGACTAGGAATGCTTCACCTGAACAATTTCATCGCCTTCTTCGATTTTAGAACTTCCGTGTGCTGGTGAACCATGTTTTATGTCAGCAATCTGATGGATGGCATGGTTATTGGGCAGGATGAAGAACCCCAGTTCCTGTTCCTTCTTCTTCAAAGTTGCCAAATCCAAGCAGGCCGGTTGAAGAATCATCGGATCCATAATTTCCTTTAAATATTCATCGATTGTTCATTATCTTCGCTTTACCATTCCAAAAAATTACATCAACAAGAAAGAAGCTCTCCACGAATTTAATACGAAATACGCAGTTATAACACTGCTTCTTAAGGGTTGGTGAGACAAGGCCGTGTCTCACGGTCCAACAATTTTATCAAATTTGTTTGTGACGTCATTCTTGCCTGTTTGACTCAAATGCTTTGAAATGTTAAGAGATCTTTAGTAATACGATTTGAAGATGTTTGAACAAAAATATTGGTCAAGTAGGTTCTCTAAAATGAAGAAAATCACAAGGAAACATTAAATAAAAATTCAATATATGGTAAACATTTTGTGTTGTATTTGTAATAAAAAGTGATTTAAAAAAAGAGGGAGATATGTACAAGTTAATGGCTTCAAATATGGCGGACTTCCGGTTTTTCTGGAAATGCTAGCAATTTTGTTTTTTCGAATAGAACACCCTGTATATTTTTACATATTCAAGTTCAACAGGTCAAGACAAGTACAATCTTGAAGTCAAATATCATTTATTCCACAGCTCACCTAGTTGAAAAATTATTCTAACTGCAAGGAAATTCATAAACTAGTTGATGATTTTTGAATATATACAATTTGTTACTGCACCGAAAAACAAAAATGATATTTCATTTTGTTCCTTAATGTATGTTCTAGAGGAACAGGTAGGTGGCCCATAGGGGTTCCATTTGAAAAAAAATAATTTTTGATCAAAAAGTGATGTGACTGAATTGATTCCTGGATATGTGACACAAAAAATAATTTTTCAGAAAAAATTATGTTCTTCTGTTATGTGTGACTCATTGTGAATAGTCTTGACCACATCTCATTTATCCACGAGGTAAAATGAAAAAACAATTTCAATTCAATTTTTTTCGAAAAAATGACATTTGAAATGAAGATTGCACTTGTTTCGACCTGTTGAACTTGAATATGTAAAAATATACAGGGTGTTTCATTTGAAAAAACAAAGTTGCTGGCATTTCCAGAAATACCGGAAGTCCGCCATATTGGATTGTAATGTGATCAAATCCGAAACAATTGCTTATATAACTGTACCGAATTTCAGAAAAATCCGATGACGAAAGCAGAAGTTACAGGGGTGGCCCGATACCCTGTGTCACCCGGTATTGGTGGGGGAGTCCTACCTATGATTTTTGATGGAGTCAGACTAGAAGATATCCGATAGTGAATTTCAAAACTATCTAAGAATGGATGGGAGATGTTTCAGATTTTTATCAATCCATATATGCGCATGAACGTATACCTGCAGAAATGAGGTGAGATCATAACAATGTCTCTAGTCAACCTAGCATAATTTTGGGATGGGAGCAAGACAAAAATATTCCTATAATAATCCGCCCTGGAGAAAAAAGTATGAAAAAGGTATGTTTTTCCAATTTTGACATGTAATTTGACTCTTTTCAAAACTAACGAGAGTTTTGAAACGTCTTTCTTTACGTAACTAGTTGTGCTAAGTAATATATCACATAACTGGTGATGAAATGTTCATTTCAACACCAGTAATGACATGAAAATATGCATAGACGAAGAGAATAGTGCATTTTGTGCTGCTTCATTGATATCACTTTGGAAATCTGACCTTGAATCAGCAAATTTCCACTAATGAAGATATCAAACGAGTCTATTTCGTGAATTTCGTCGTTGATTTCAGACCATATTATTGTTTGACGGATACTTCAAGGTGGTGGGCGAAGCTAGTTAGGAAACGCGACATTTTGTGTGACGAGGGGATTGGGACGAGCGAAGCAAAATTCCGCAAAACATAGAGTGAATATCTATCACATGTTGCTTTTGTTAGATTTTTTTCCCGCTCCATTGTCTTCACTCCACTGTCTGATAAATTGCCACAGATGGTGTAATAATTATCATCAATAGTTAGATGAGCAAGAAATATTTACCACATCAATAAGTGGGAAGTATCCAATTTATGTTTCTTTTATTTTGGTATTTTATGTCGTCTTAAATTACAGAGTAAAACACAACAGCTGCATCATTTGCATAAAGGGTAATTTTCCCAGGAAGATCAGAATATACAAGGTCGTTTAAACTGAAAATAATAGGGGTCCTAATGTTGACCCTTGGGGCATCCCAAAAGTTGTTTGTCTTGTGTCACTGAAGTTATCTCAAACACCAACATACTGATATCTTTCACTCAGTTAAATCACTAATTAATTGGAGACATTTTTCTCTGAAACAAATATAGTTGAGTTTGGAGAGAAGTACTTGGTGACCAACTGTATCAAATTTTTACAAGTAAAAACCTAGACCCCTTACAAATTTCCTGTTCTCCCTGTTAAATGAATTCAAGTATGATAATAATTGCTGTTTCAGTCCCTCTATTAGTTGAAAAACCATTTTGGTTTTCAGCAGTTGATATTCTTCAGGTGGTTTAAAATTCTATTGTACATAATCCTTTCATATATGTTCTGTAGATAAGACTGGAAAGAAATGGGAGCCACTCTAGCTATTTTTAATTAAGAATTGATGTATTTGAACTGAAACTGCACTGAAAGTATGGCTACCTTTTTCATAGATATACAAGGTGATTAAGTGGTAGGAACCATAATTTGAAAGCTTTGTAAGTAAAACTAAATTTTGTAGAAATTTCACTTTTTACGGAAATGTAGGAAGTCTAAGTATCGGCTGTCGGAACAGTTTTTTTATATTGTCAACTTACAGTAGTAATCTTAGAGAAATGAATTTCACATACTTGTATGACATGATCAGCGATCTTGGACAGCTTTTCACAAATTTTCCTGACAGTACAAACTGGCTTCTCGGAAAAAATTCCCCTATGCGCACTGGTAGCCATTTCAAAACCCAACTGCAGCAGGTTCGTTTTATTGTCGATGTAATCTTTGTCACCAGCAAAAGGAGACCTGAAAAAGGAGATATAGCAATACAAAATATAAAATACTGAGTACTCGACTGGTTAATGAATTTACCGAGAAATAATCAGAAGTAATACACATCCCAATATCTAAATGAATTCAAACTTATAATTTCATCGAAAAAGATAATTATGCATCAGTCAAGAGATAATTATTGGTTCATATTATGTATACAACGTTTCTCTATTTTGGTAGGGAATAGATCTTCTGAATCAAGCGAAGATCTGAGCAGAGTTCCACAAGGCTTTGTTTTACGACCAATCTTGTTATTGGTGTATGAATACGACCTTAAGCAAAATTGCCTGTCCACGGCACTGTCATACGCAGACGACCTCAAGATATTGTTCTCTGCTCCTACACCCACTCTCCTGGATGACCTAGATGCCATTACTGATTGGTGCTCCAAGTGGTTGATTCCCCTGAATCACGATAAATGTTCTGTCCTTCATCTTGGAAAATGAAACCCTAAACGTACTAACTCTGTCAACGGCGCCAAGTGAATCGGCAAAATGACCTTGTCATTATCATCACCAAAAACCTATGCTGGAGTATGCACGTCAACAAAATCGTGTGTGTCGTATGATAAAGAAATCATTCCTGAACTTGACCGCCAAGGCATTCGTCAAAATCTACAACTCTTACATCCGGCCTCATCTCGGGTTTGAAGTAGTTATCTACTCCCCCCTACTCAGACAGGACATTAATCGCCTTGAAGGAGTTCAAAGAAGGGCCACCAAAATTCCTCATAATTTCAAGATCATCCCCTCCGAAGAACGACTTCGAAGACTGCAAATACCCTGCCTTTTTTTATCGCTTTGAGCGCACGAAAGGAAATCCCTATAATGTTCAAAGAACATCGTGCGTTCCTAGGGAGGATAGGGACAGGAAGTAGGTATTGGATTTTTTTTAACTTCTGCAATCAAGACGTGAACGTGGTGACCTGATAACTACATACCGTGTCCTGAACGGTACTTTCTTCATCGGTCAAGATTTCTTCAACCTAGATACTGAGCCTCGGCTGCGTGGACATGATTACAAACTGCGCAAAGAAGATTTTCGCACTTCGACAAGACGACATTGCTTCTCCAACCGTGTCGTCAATCAATGGAACTCCATATGAACATGGACATCTGGGGCCTTATTTTGTAATCAAGAGAACGATTCCCTCGAGGAAATGTTTGGTATAAAATGTTTAAAATTTCACTCTCCACTGTTTTTCGGTGGATTATGAGAGGAGACGGAACAGAGTACCTGTTTCTCTTGCTGAAGCAGCGCTGAACGAAATAATTTGTTACTAGAGTGAGGGACATGCCCACTGTTCTCTTGACGGACTAGTTCCTTTGATTCAAAAATAAGGCCACTGACAGATCCCAAACTTTTTTTCCGAAAATCCATTTTAGGCCGATATCTGCCGAAATATGACAGGATTTCTTTCGGTGCTCTAATATTTCATGCAAAAAAAGAGTTGAAAAAAAAATCCTCAATTTTCAGATGCTGGAAATTTTTTTTTATATCAAATTCTGCCACGAAGGGTCTGGTAATACATCAGTCTCCATTTTTCAATCTGTAATGACCAATTGTAGATAGTGCAACCACGTTTCTTGTTTTCGAAATTATTACGGCAATAAACAGGTTGAGGTCCAAAACAGCAAATAAAGAACAACATACTCCTATACTTTTCAATACTGAATAAATATTCTTGACTCAAATTTGGATAACAATAATAAAACATTACCTTGTGCTCCAAAACGAAAAACTGAAATATTCCAATAACACCAATAACACATTTTTTTCACTTTTTGCACTTTCTTGTTAATTGATAAATTCAACCATTCAATGTTGTTTGTAAGCAAAGTGCACACGTTGTTTGTGAACAAAGCAGAAAGAATATGAAGTCAACGTGGACGACGCGTTGTCGCGCACGGTGAATAAAATTATATCACAATCAAGAAAGTGGGGAGGCAGTTTTTTCGCGTGCACGTAATAAGATACTTGATATATACAAGGTGTCCAAGAACAAAGAACTTTCAATAATGGTGAACTAGAGACCAAATTAGGACAATTGAATCAACTTACCTCTATACGAAAATGCACCGTTGAGCCGTGAGAGGGCGATGAAGAACAATTTTACTTAGTTTTTCTTTAATATTGCGGAACCCTTGACGGGTACTGATCTGGAATTCGTAGGGCAATTCACTATAGTAAATGTGCATGGAAAAAAGAATAAAGATGGCGGCAAGTAAAGTCGGCGATAATGTTGATCTCTCAATTTTGTGTAAAGGATGCCAAAGATCGGCGAAAACTATTATAAAATGTGTTTTTTGTGACTCAGTATATCACGCGGCATGTGCAGTTCGTGTGAAAAATCTAAAAGTCGTTGGATTTAATGAACTTTGCTGTCCACACTGCGACCCTAACCTGAACGATGATGCCTCGAAAATCGACGCTAAGTGTTTAATGGAAACCAATGATACTCTGAATAAGGTTATCCTACAATTGATGCAGTCCCAGGAGTGCCTCAAAGATGAAATTAGTAGAATCTATGAAAAATTGAAGGGCTTTTGCATAAACATGGTCACTGCTGCAGAGGGGAAAGGGGAAACTCATTCTTCAAAACATAACCAAGGTAAAGCCAGTAAAACAACTATTCATGTTGAAAAAGAGAAAGATGGGAACAATAGAAACAAAAAATTGGATAAGAAAACATTCGCCGAGACGGCATCACAGAACTCGACGGCATCCAAAGACCCAACCAGCGTTGCCGGCTCGTCCAAAAAATCCGGAATATCTGTACAAGAATTGTCTAGCGCACTACAGGAAGTTCAATCAAAAGATAAATTCAATGAGATTATCAACCTTGCTAATGATGGCGTAGAAGACATTACAAATGATTGGAAGAGGGTACCAGGAAGGAAACCTTGGAGAAAACTTATCATTGGCAGCAATGACAAAATCGAAATAAATGGTAAAGAAATCGAGGGAATTCCAAAATACAGGGATATCCACGTCTACAGGGTGGATCCAGGAATGACTTCTGAAAACCTCGCAAATTATGTGAAATCGCATTTCCCGGAGGTGATGTGCACTTCACTTAAATCAAAATTTCCAATGCAGTACTCATCTTTCAAAGTCAGTATATATAATCATCACTTTGAGGAGGCCATGGACCCAATGAAGTGGCCTATTGGGGCTTACGTCCAGCAGTTTTTTCATCTACACCCACGGAGCCAAAAAATGGTCAACAAATAAATGATGAACATCAGATGAATATTTCCATTTTGAATCTGAATATCCAGTGCATAAGGAATAAAATTTTGCAATTAGACCATTTTGTAAACAACATAGATGATTTGATTGTGTTGTGTTTTACTGAGCACTGGTTGTCTACAAGTGAGTCGTCCTGTTACAATATAACTAATTTTAAACTGGTTTCTAAATTCTGCAGGTCAAAACACATTCATGGAGGTACGTGCATTTATGTGAATTATTATTTTGATGCTAAAGAAATTACTGATTTACAACAATTATCAATAGAATTCCATTGTGAACTTTCTACAGTATTCATAAGAAAGTTGAATTTAGTTGTGATGTGTGTCTACAGGTCACCCTGTGGTAACTCAGATCTTGCTATATTTTTAAAAATAATAACAGAAGCGCTTATGTATCTAGAAAAACATTACAGCAAAGGTAATATTGTCTCATCTGGAGACTTCAACGTACATTTTTTGAAATCAGATAACAAATCAAATATGGTAATTGATCTTCTCAACCAGTTCAATATGGACCAGAAAATTCATTCGGCAACTAGAAAAATGGGAAACTCCAAAACTTGCCCAGACAACATATTTACAAATATTGAAAACTCCATCTCGAAGGTACTTAGTGCACCACTATCAGACCATGATCCCCAGATACTAACCTATAAGATAAATAATCAAAATAATGAACAAATCAAGTCTGAACTGAACTACTCAAGGAAAAATATTGAAAGGTTCAAACATAACCTCGCTGTGGAAACATGGATTGATATGTATAATGAATCAACATCAGAGAACATGGATCTAACATTCCATAAGATATTTATGAATCATTTTGAAAAATCTTTCAATCGTATCAAATCGAAACCCTCGAAAAAAACAAATAATATTTATTGGAAAACCCCTGAAATTGAAAAACTCCGACATACTGTTCAATTCACATATGATATGACTAAAACAAACCCAAGTGATTACAACAAATCCCAATTTGATTTGATAAAGAAAAAATATAGCCATGCATTAGCAGAAGCAAAAAGTAACTACTACTCTAATCAAATATCTCAGTCTGATAACAAAAATAAAACAATTTGGAAAATTATAAACACTGAAAGAGGAAATATTAGTACCAAGGGTCACTATGATTTTGATGTGGAGGATTTCAATGAGTTCTTCACCAACCAAGCAGAGGATATAGTTAATGATATTGTAACTCATGAACATATATCATATAATCAGGAATTATATAAATTGCCAAATTCTTTCTTCATGCGCCCCTTCAATGAAGAAGAGATAATTTCAATAGTGAGTAGTCTGAAAGCTAAAAATACTCAGGACATATACGGTATAAGTATGAATCTGTTCAAGCAATGTGCATTACTCTTCATTGAACCTTTAACTGTACTAATAAATAAATGTCTTTCTGATGGAATCTTTCCTTCTGTGTTCAAACCAGCCAAAGTTCTTGCCATCCACAAAAAAGGGGATGAAGAATTGGCTGAAAACTATAGACAGATTCATATTTTACCGACGATATCTAAAGTAATGGAAAAAGCAATTTTGATCCAATTCAGTAATTATATGGAAAAATTGAACATGTTTGACTCTCATCAATTTGGATTTAGAAAAGGAAAAAACACGGTAGATGCTGTAAATAAGCTTTTGAGAATAAAGAATCCTGTCTAACTATATTCACAGACCTGTCAAAGGCCTTCGATTGTGTTAGTCACAATAAACTTTTAGACAAAATGGAATGGTATGGAATGAGGGGAGTTTCTAGAAGTATCATTGAATCCTACCTGAAAAATAGAACCCAAAGAGTTTACAACAATAATAATGTGTCGAGAACGACTCATCAAAAGGGGTGTACCACAGGGATCCATACTAGGTCCTTTTTTATTTTTAATCTATGCCAATGATCTGCCTTCACACATGCTTTCAAAACATTAATTACTGACAATATTGTATGCAGATGATACGTCCTTTTCTATTCACCTGAATCCCACATGCACAGACATTGACGATATTTCAGCAGACGTTACTGCCCACGCAAAACAATGGTTTGATAACAATGAATTATTTTTGAATGAAACAAAAACAGAGGTATGTCTATTCTCGAATTATCATGTCCACTCAACTAGATCACATTCAATAAAATTCTTGGGAGTTTATCTAGATCCATCCCTTACTTGGGCCACACATGTTGACAACATCTGCAGAAAATTATCAAATTCAGTTTATGCCATTAGGCGCATAACTTCAACTGTGAGCCAAGAAGCTGCTTTAACAGCATACTATGCAATGTTTCATTCAGTGATGAGCTATGGTTTGCTATGCTGGGGTAGTTCAAGCTATACACACTTACAAAGAGTTTTTACACTACAAAAAGCGGCTGTACGAAGCATTGCAAAGGTTAGTTATACTGAACATTGCCAACCATTTTTTCAAGCTTTAGGTATTATGACCTTATATTCACAAATTGTCTACGAAAATCTCATACATGTTAGAAAAAATATACATACATTCACTAAGCATTCAGACATTCATGATTATAGTACCAGATATGGTCATAACATTGTACCTCATAAAAAGAGATTAGAAAAGAGCAAATCCATAGGAATATCTCTTTTCAATTCTCTTCCTACAGATATCAGAGATCTGCCGTTGGATCGTTTTAAAAAAACGTTGAGAAAGATTCTTGTCAGAATGAGTCTCTACAGAATCAACCATTTCAGTGAGTTGATCAACGACTCTTGTAGACAACTGGTGCTATTTTAATTTTAATTTTGCTTGATTTTTAATCATTTCATCCCTTGTAATTTTTGTTTGTAATTTCTTTGTTTCTTTGTATGACGTGTCCATAACTTGTATACCATGGATGTAATATATTCTATTCTATTCTATTCTATTCTATTCTATGTCGTATCAATTCAATCAATATACAGGGAGTTAGGTATTTCGCATCTTCTTTGATAAAAATTGATGAAACTTTTTATGGAGCAAGGCACTGACGATATTTGGATATTTTGATGGATGACACAATCAATCATCTCACTATTTTAACCACATTGTTTTTATAATTTTTCTTGGTTTTCGAGATATTTAAAAAAAATCATTTTGGTGCTCCCCCATATTTGTTTATGATCATAACGATTATCATGTTCTGCAAGTTTTTGCCTCATTTGTTTTGTGTGACCACAATAATCATGTGTATGAACTACTTCAGCATATGAAAATGTTGTTGGTCATCAAATTCATTTATTTTTTCCCGAATGAAGTTTTTTCATCAGAAATCTTGAACTGAAATTTGGAAATGACCAGCTCCCAAATCATATGATGAATAGCTTACGAATTGGTAAACATGATTATTGCGGTCGATAGCCCAACACAAATGTGGTAGAAACGAGCAAAACATGATAATTCTAACATGATAAACGTTATTTATCTCGAACACCAAGTGAGATAATTGATTTTGACATCCTTTGAAATATGAAAATTATCTCCAGAAATGATAGATTATTTTTTTATATTGATTGAAATGGTACGACATTTTTTCCATGTCCATTCGTTAAAGTAAATTGCCCAACGAATTTCAGCGCAGTATCTTTCAAGGATTTGAGGATTCCGATAACTTAGAGAATCTGGAAATGCAATTGTTAAATAAATACATTGTGGCTATTTCGTAGTTGGAATAAAATTGTTGTTCATCTCTCACGGCTCAACGGTGCATTTTTTTATGGAGGTGAGTTGATTTCAATCGGCCTATTTTGGTCTCTAGTTCACCCTGTAAAATTAATGGTACTTTGTTCTGGAACACCTTGTATAATGATGAAAAGCTGGGAGTCTGATCTTTAATTTTAATTATAGATTCCTGTTTTAGATATTGAACACACTGTAAAGTTCAGGCTGTTGAATATTCTCATATAATTGTGAAAAAACTGATCAATAGAAAAAACTGTATATATCTTGTGTGTGGTGTATATTGTGAGTGTTCCATTGGAGAAGGCTTGCCATTCAGAGTATTAAAGTATTAAATTTCCAGTCAGGATTTTGAAATTCATTGGAAAATAGTCTTGTCAATATGTCACAAGATAATTTCAAAATTCTACAGGAAGATCAATGCAATTATGATTTTTATTTCACCCAAGTGAATTATGACCATGAAGAAAACACTAGTAATAACTTCACCATAATAACTTCACCAATACCCAAACTATACCTGAGATACAGCTGATGAATGTTGGAATATACAATAAGTGAGTACAGTAGATATTTAATAATTTATAGATTCTCAAAATCGCCATGCTAACATTTAATGTGCCGCATATTAGTCGATTGTGGGCTGAACATACTTGAGCGGTATATGTATTTTTTGTCGTTAAACTTTTTGTCGATGGTTGATAATTATTTTTGTCTGTGAAGAGAGTTCATGATGATTGAATAAAGTAGTTGTCTTTTGTCTCGAACAATAAGAGAGTGAGTTTCATTTCAAGTGCCTAAGCCCAAATAATTCTAGCAGGTTACGGGCCCAGAGTTTCCACTTAAATATAAATAAGGCACAGAGAGTCGTGAAAATACGTTAGTGTCCAAACACAAAAACACTTTCAGTTGTGATAAAAGTTTTCTTTATGATGGAAAACAAATTAGCAAAACGAAATATTCATCCGTTCCGTGGAGAAAAGTACACCGTTTGGAAGTTTCGTGTGAAATCACTGTTAGCCGAACTTAATGTGCTCGATGTTGTGAACAATGACATTCCGGAAGATATTACAGAAGAATGGCGTAAAATGATTCAATTGCGAAGGGCGTAATAGTGGAATT